TTACTCTCTTCATTTGTATAGTGTGTATATATATATATATATATATATATATATATATATATATATATATATATTTACCTGTATTTACTTTGTTTTCATATTTGGCGACTTGTTGTGAAAAATGGAGACTTTTGAGGGTGGTTCTAGAGATTTTCTGAGGGAGGGGTTTGGCAACACTGGATACAGGCAGAGAATATCACATAGCAAAATACAGAGAGGGCGACAGAACCGAAGAGAAGGGAAGAGCGCCTGGCAGGGGCTCACAGAGACCCCCGGATCCAGATGCAGGTTCATATCCCACCTTACCGATCGATATGTGATCAGTTTCATCAATCCCTTCGCCTGAATGACGCCCGGGCTGCTTGAGACGTTGTAACAGGGAGGAGAAACAAAACCCTTCCCGGCGACCTTTTTTTTCTCTCTCTCTCTCTCTATTGTGGATCATTTTCTCTCTTTGGAATCGGAATCGGAATCGGATTGATCGTTCATAAGGGCAGCTCGCAGATTGGCTTCGAGGGAGTAAGATGGGGTGTTTGGGGAGCAGTAAAACCGAAGACCAGCGCATCGACGAGAAAGCACAGCGAGAGGCCAACAAGAAAATAGAGAAACAGTTGCAAAAAGAGAGACAGGCGTATAAAGCCACACATCGACTGTTGTTGTTGGGTAAGAGGAGACTTGAGGCGTTATATCCGACATACGAGACCCATACGAGGCTGTGTTTTTTTTAAACGCACCGTGTTTGACAGCTCGATCTGGCATGTCGGATTGTACATATGAAGAACACACGCCGTGATATCTGAAGTAACGTTATCTGAGAGACTTTGCATGTATTCACACGGCTGTGTTTGCTTTCCTAGGTGCTGGGGAATCGGGGAAAAGCACTATCGTGAAGCAGATGAGAATTCTTCACGTCAACGGGTTTAATGCGGAGTGAGTACCTGTTTACTGTACTGGTGTCACATATGTGCATGTGAGGGCGTTATGTGAGTGCTGGGCCCTGTCTTCAGCCTCGGCATGGCGAAGGAAACCCTCATACACGCTGAAGCAGATAGTGATGTAGCACTACATGCTATCAGCTAGTGCCTCACTGCAACATCACTGTTATATGCTCGTACGGAATCTGTATGCAAGTAAAACACGAGCGAGAAGTGACTGGAATCCTAGAATCGATGTTCATCAAGCCTCTGGGTGTTAAAGTTTCATGCGTGTTTCTTTAAAACCGTTTTTGCATCCCGATGGTAATAATTGTAATAGCATATCTAAATGACACAACTTCGTTAGAAATTCTGTGCAACTGTGTCCAGCTCCAAATTACTTATAGCGAAAAGAAACATAAAAGTAGTTCATATGTCTTCTGAAGTCATATGATAGGTTTGCACCAGGAAGAGACTGAAATTCAAATCGTTAGTTACTTAAGGCCTTTCCGTTCACTTTAGCTCTCAAATTGCATTCTCAATTTCATATGACATATCGAGTATGGTTGAGATACACAGGCGTTTGGCTTTGGTGAGGCTTGGCATGTATAATATATAGTTTTTATGGTGTTTTTTTAGCTCATTTTCAGCTGTCACTGTATGGAAAAGAGCTGGATGAAGATTCTCTGAAATACCTCATTTTGTGTTACACAGAAAAAACGTTAGAGTGATTTTAATAATGACAAAATTGTAATTTAAAGGCACAATACGTAAGATTATTTTATTAAAATATCCAGAAACCACTAGAACGGTGTTCTATATTTTGCGTACATACATTATCCCAAATGTTTCGAAGAATGTTTAAATCCAGAGAAATGGCTATTTTAAATAGTGGCTCGTCCCTGGTCATTGCGTCGCCTGCCAATGTCGTCGTACACCCTCGATTTCCGGTTTTGTTTTGTAGAAAACATGAGAACACCAAAGACGCTTTAATATGTTGTGTGTTTTATTAGACAGGTGACGACCGCACAGAGTAGAATTATAACAGAACGTTCAAATGTATCTGGTATGATCAAACAGCTCTGCTTTACCCCACATACGCACGACCGGAAAGGAGCGGAAGCTCCGCTGTTTGGAGCCGTCACGCTCGTCTCTCTTTAGCAATTGCTTTAACGGCCTCGTTTCGCTTCGACGGCTTTCCGCCTCACCCTGCTTCATACTATGATGTAGGGTTGTGCAAAAAATCAAATGCGATTTTCATGCGCATCTCGTCAGTAAAGCCGGTTCTGTGATTAGTAGTAAATCTCCAGCACGTGCTTTCAGATGGAGTGGTATTTACTACACAGAGCCGTAGTTTACTCACAAGCTACACAGGCGATTCATTGTCGATGAGTCTGTGTAGTAAATGCCGCTCCATCTGAAAGCACGTGCTGGAGATTTACTACTAATCACAGAACCGGCTTTACGAGATGCGCATGAAAATCGCATTAGATTTTTTGCACAGCCCTACTACGATGTTAATAAATCTTTAATACATTAGCTCATCCATGAACATGATTTCTGCCCGAGTCCCGTCGGATTGCATCGGCTGTGAGGATGAAGACGACAACTCCCATGATTCCACACCCAGTCACGGCGTCATCAAACTACGCCTTTGTTTCTTTGTTTGTTTTGAATACGCGCCCTCTAGCGGCGAAAACTTACATATTGTGCCTTTAACTATTCCTAGAATGAACCAGAAGTTGGAGATTTGAAATTCAGTCTTCAATTTTATTTTTAAATGTTTCTGTCTTTTGACCAAATTGAAATGTTTTCCCATACAGGGAAAAGAAACAGAAGATTCAAGACATTCGCAAAAATGTGAAGGACGCCATCGTGGTGAGTGTGCCTGATTTAGTTTCTAAAAGTTGTTTTCTAGATCGTATCTCGGTCTCACAGCTCATAACTCTTTGGTTTTTATTTCTAGACCATAGTGTCTGCAATGAGCACTTTAATACCACCCGTCCCACTCGCTAATCCAGAGGACCAGTTTAGGATCGACTATATCAAAAGCATAGCACCGCTCTCTGACTTTGATTACACACAGGTAAGGAGCCTCATTTTTATAATTTACCCAGGATGTTTTGAATGGCATTTGAATTTGTGTAAATGTTCTGAGGTTTTTGAACCGCTTACCGAGAGGTTTTGTACGAGTCTTTTGATTTATGAAAATACCAGTTTGCATGATCTTTTTTAAAATCACGTACTTGAGGTGAAACCCCTGCTACTAGCTGGAAGTTTGATTGTTACTGACAAAAGTTACTTTGTGGGAATGCAGATACTGGCTGCTTTGTTGCTGTTTGAGTTTGTCATTTAAATGGATGGGAAATATTATAATTTTTAACAGTAAAGATGAAAAATTAGGTCTTAATTTTGTCAGCAGTTGGGATAAAGTTCTAGCATTTCTAGCAAACACCTACAACTTAAAAAAATTCATTTACAGACATACTCCATTATCATGTAGATGTGTTATCATTTTTTAACATTTAGTGTATATTTATACATTTTAGACAGTAGTTAAAATATTCTATTTTAAAATGTTTTTTTCTTTTCTTGAAACTATGCAATAATACAGTTGCATGTTGCTGTGATGGCTTACGTTCTGTTTGTACTTTGTCATGCATTGTTGTTGCATCTGTGGTTTGCTAGCACATTAGGTTATGTTTGTGAGGGATATTTTGGGTTCATATGTAGAATTTAATTTCTAGATTGACTAATCCAGGAGACCTTGACTAATCCACGGGACAGAGAAGGTTTTCACATTAAATGCATTTGCATCAATTACTTTAGTTGTCAGTCGATTGAGTGTAATTCAGGACAGAGATAAAAATATAGTATTTTTGCACTTGTCAGTGAGTTTTGTGTTCCTTAAAGTAGCTGTGTGTTTTAAGCCGCAGGTTGGCATAGGTTTACTGAACCTGATATTTGTGTCAGTCATTAGAAGACACCGAAGTCATGGAAAAATAGGCGGTGTTGTTTTCTCAAGCCTTGCTTGTTTCAAGGTATCAAGTAATGACTTTGGAATTGGGTTGACCTGAGGAATTTTCAGTGAAATTTGTAGAATTCCATCTGATCTGGCTGAATCAAACTGAAACTGACACTAATTATATACTGTAGATGTCTTTTAGCTTAGCATATGCTTTCTGCTGTGCTTGAGTTTTGTTTTTAGCATTAAGCAGTGTGCGATGGGGTCAGTTTTTTTAATTTTTATTTTTATTTTGTTGTGGTATTCCAGCACATGTAATGCCTTTTCAGAAAAGTTGTACGGTGATATGGCAGATGTCTTGACTTTTTGGTTGCACAAGTGTTGGCTTTGTGTTTTCAGACAATGGAGATTTATAATTAGACAGATCTTTTCTCAGCTCCTGGATTTCTCTTTAATTAATTAATGGTACTCATGAATTCATCAATTTTCGAATGTTTGTACGGTTGGATTGAAAATACCGGAAAGTCCAGAAATTTCAGTTCTTATTTAGTGAGTAATTTGTAGTTTAGTCTTGGGTTCAACAGGTGATCGATGCAATATTGACTGCTAACATGTATTTTGTGTGTTATCTTAAAGGAATAATTCACCCAAAAATGAAAATTTGCTGAAAATGTATTCACCCTCAGGCCATTCAAGATGTAGATGAGTTTGTTTATTCATCATTTAGAATTACATCACTTGCTCACCAATAGATCCTCTGCAGCGAATGGGTGCCGTCAGAATGAGAGTCCAAACAGCTGATGATAACATCACAATAATCCACACCACTCCAGTCCAGCATTTAACATCTCGAGAATGAAAAGCTGCATGTTTGTAATAAACCAATACATCATTAACATGCGTTTAACTTCAAATCATTCCTTCCAGCTAAAATATGAGGCCTCTATCCATAATATTGCTTTCTTCAGGGAAAAAAGTTGTCTCAAATGAATCATAAGAGAAATTTGACAACAGTTCTAAACAAAAATATATCAGTATTTTGGCCAGAAGTTATGGTTTAAAAGAGTCCAGTGGTGAGATCCAGTGGTGAACAAGTGATGCATTCTTGGATATGTTCCACTTAGAGGAAAGGATGTACATTTTAGCTCTTGTACCTTAGGGTACCGTCCCAGTGACAGCTTTGTACCTTTTTTTTTTTAACTGTATTTTACAGCGGTTCAAGAAATATAAAATTTTTCCTAATAACATATGGTCATTAGTTCTAAAAAGTACATGTCTGTAACGGCTATTAAAGCTAAAAAATAATTCATATTTCAGTACATTATGTAAAGTTGCAAACAAGTAGGAAAAGAGACTAGCGTTTGAATGCTTGCATGATGTGCTCGGAGCAGTGGCGGGCCGGTGTGATCAGTCAGTCTATTTCCAGAACAGCCAAAAGGCTTTTAACCAAAACACATTTTATGAATGTAGCTGCAAGTATTTAGTGGTATCAGTTCAAGAAATATGTCTTAAATGAAATGAAGAGGCAAAATGTTTGCTAATGCTATTGACATTCAGTCATTTTGGCATGCAGATGCTCTACATTTGTAAGAAATTGTTGTTTTAAAGATGTTTGTTGTTTCCACAGGAGTTTTTCGATCATGCGAAGAAGCTCTGGGATGATGAAGGCGTTAAGGCGTGTTATGAACGCTCCAACGAATATCAACTAATCGACTGTGCGCATTAGTAAGTATAAGATTAATCGTACAGTTAACTTGGTGTCTATATTATGATGGCGACTTTTGGTTTTGCTTTGCTTATTGCTTAAGTTGCTGCTACCAAAAAAGGTATTTTATTCAAGAAGTAGACGAAAGCTTAATGTCTTCCTCTGTTGATAGTTATGATAATAGCTTGGATGTTTGTTTGGACTGTTTAGTGGTTCTGTTTATTTGTATGGTGGTAGCCATTTTGAAAGCTGTTGTGTGTCATTCTTTTGAACAGAATAGCTTAATCGTGCGGTTGTTATAATGTGAATCTAAAGGGAATATGTTCAGTAAACATAGCTGGACCTGCATGGCCTATAAATATAATTTTTTTTTTACAGAAGCTCATCAAAGCTGCAATTATTTGATCAAAAATACAGTAAAAACAGCAATACTGTGAAATATTATTACAATTCAAAATAACTGGTTTCTATTTTAATATATTTTAAAATGTAATTTATTCCTGTGATGCAAAGCTGAATTTCTCCAGTCTCCAGTGTCACATGATCCTTCAGAACTCATTCTAATATGCTGATTTGCTGATTATAATGCTGAAAACAGTTGTGCTGCCTAATATTTTTATGGAAAATGTGATGCATTATTGTTTTCAAGATTCTTTCATTAAAAGAAAGCTCAAAAGAACATCATTTATTAACAATCTAAGTCTTTTGTAACATTATGAAAGTATTTATTGTCCGTTTTGATACATTTAATGCATCCTTGCTGAATAAAAGTATTCCTTTAATAAAAATGTACTAATATCAAACTTTCGAGCGGTAATGTAGGTGTTTATTGTGACATCGATTTGGATTAGTTATCCAACAACTGACTAGTTGATTAGTAAGGCAGACTAGTTTAAAAAAACCTTTGTTTGAAGCCACTGTGCTTCAGATGTTTGACGGTGTGCACTGTAAAACCTTCTCGGAAAAGTTGTGTCTGTAAATCGGGGTCAGGTAAACCTGAAACCAGTTCAGGCAACCGAGCAACTAGTCTGTTTTGAAAATATGTCGTTTTGCACATCCCTAGAAGGAACGTGCCTGATCAGGCTCAGATGAACGCGAAACCAACCTGTTTATTCAGGGCTTCATTAAGACATTCAGGCAGCCCACTTCAAACATGTTTTATATATATATATATATATATAAGAGAGAGATTGTAGATTTTTACATCCACTGGTGGCATTTTTAGGCCAGTGCTGGTGTTTCTCCTGTGTAACAGTGGCTGTGTGTCGGGTATGAAAGCGTGAGGAGGATGGTCAGGTCATGGGAGTTGGTCAGCCGCTTGGTAGGACACAGATAGCATCACCAGCTAGTGCAGTGCCTGACACATAATGGCGACTGTTGTCTCAGTCAGAAAAGGCCCAGAGATGCTCGGAGGATCATACAGACACCCAGATGCTCTCAATACAGGCTTGTTCTTTGTGGCAATACTGAGAATTCCTCTGTTATACAACTTCAACTCAGTGTCTGCTCAGATGTGTTTGCTGTGATTCAGGTCGATCCAGGGGTGGATGGTCTTAGAAATCAGATAAATCTAATTGCATCCAGTTTGTTGTTTTTTTTTTTGGAAGTTATAGAAGAAAATGTTGAAAAGTGGTGTTTCAACTCGCCCTCATGTGATTTTTGGGTAGGGCTGCACGGTTAACCGGAATAAAACCGAAATTGCGATATGACTCAAAAGGGTTAAAGGTTATGATTTACTCCAATTTCTCAGAGATGATTCGAAGGAAATACTGCTCCATACAAACTCAATTTTTGCATCTGCTCTGAGTTTGGGTCACTTTAATGTGCATTGGGAACACAACATGTGCCAATTATCTTCCCGTACTAGTAATCATAAGCGTTCAACAAAAGAGAAGCTTTAAGGGCTTTCTGCTCTTTACCGTCAAAATAAAAGTTTTGGTTTAACGGCTGAAAATTAAGATGTAAATATTGTTAGGGTGAGGCAAGGCAAGTTTATTTATATAGCACATTTCATACACAATGGTAATTCAAAGTGCTTTACATAAAAGGAAATAAAATAATCATAAAAAAATAATCACAGCAATAAAACAAGGAATTTAAAAACTTTTAAAATGATTTAACGTTAGGGTTAGGTTATTTTTTATGAAAAAATCTGTAATGTTAATTTAGTAAGTTGTCATGTAAAATGCAATTATTATGTTTCTTAAATTTTAGATTTGTTTATTTTACAATGAAAGATTACAATAGTTAAATTTTTTTTATTTTGTCTGAGTCATTATGATATTTTTATTTAGTAATGTTATTTAAAATAGAAAATATTAATACAAATAAAAACGATTATTTACATTTAAATGAATATTTAAATGTATTATATTGATATATAATCACAACGTTTTGGTCAAATTGTGCAGCCACATACAAGCACAGCAAATGTGGAATATTTATTTATTGAAATCAGAAAAATCGATAGATTTTTCCCCCAAAATCATGCAGCCAGAGCTTTGCAGTTGTTGGAGGTGTTTTCGAGTAGTTTAAAGTGTGTTTCTGTGCAGTTGCTATTTGCCCGAGTGTTCTGATTGGTTGCTTGCTGAACTGGATTGAGAGAATACACCCTCCAGTCTATGATTTCTAGATATTTCTTGTGTATGTCCTTCAGTGTAAGATTTCTGCACCTGTATTTTGTCTGCCCAAGTGTTAATTAAATTCCTGGAAAAGTAATAGCACACCTCTCCTCAACAAACCACACAATTGGAGGTCATTCATACAGCAATAATGTTGCAGGACAAGTTATGTGCTAAACTTTAATACTTGGGGTTAAAGGTTTGTTCAGAACACTAACCCTAAGCATGAGCAATAATAATAGTTATGCCGGCTTTAGCAAACACCAGTAATCCAGTAATTATATCTCAGTATTATTTAGACTTTTGACAATGGTATACACATTTACTATTTATTATATACATTTAGATTTACTCTAAAATGACTAAAAGAACAGCCTTAGGGAAAAAAACAAACAATAAAATGTAGTTAAAAATAATAAAGGCATGTTTTCCACACTTTGTGTAATATATGTGTGTGTTCTGTGTATATTTATTATGTATATATAAATACACACACATACAGTATATATATTTTAAAATATTTACATGTCTATATTTATATTAATATAATTTATATTATAAATAAATATATTTAATATATAAAAATGTACATATTTTTCTGAAATATATACGTGCATGTGTGTGTATTTATATATACATAAATACATAATAAATATACACAGTACACACACATATATTATGTAAACAACTTTTATTTTGGATGAGATTAATCGTTTGACAGCACTAATATATATATCAATTTTAATATTTTATATTATTTTTACAAGATTAGAAAGACAATTCATCAATGTCATTACAATATGTTGTCAGAGGGTTTGATGCAGCTGTTTTATCTCAATGCATCTTGACTGCCCTTTGGCCTGTTGAGATCATTGCACGATTGCGTGATTTTGTGACATCTGTCTATGTTCGTTTCTATAATGGCACGTCTATTTTGAGGCTCAAAGAAAACAGATTACATGTCGATGTCACACAAATACACGTTCGTGCGGAAGTGGGTCGGTGAGTCCGAGACCACTACAGACACGGTGAAAGCAGCAGTCCGAGCGAGCGAGAGAAAGAGAGAGAGAGATCCCAGTTGTGTGTGGCGTTCGTTCTGCAGGCCCGGCTGTATGGAGATTGTGGTTGGGCTGTCTGTCCCCCTCCTCCCTCCGCCAGCGCTTATGTAAAGGAACAGCGCAGCCGGGGCAAGCAGGAGCTATTTATAGCACAGCACTGCAGAGCACTCACTGGTGGAGGGCGTCACGTGTGTGTGCGCGCCGCCGAATCAAAGGGAGTATCCCGGCAATGCGCGTAAACAAAGGAAGGTCAGAAAGAGAAGGTGAGGCGCAGAAAGAGCCCGTGTGTGTGTGTGTGTGTGTGTGTGTGTGTGTGTGTGGTTATACATATCAGACCCTCATAAGTGCTTAGAGGGAATAAACATTCACTGATGTACAGCGGCGCTCTCTCTCTCTCTCTCTTCCTCTCGCCCTTCATTTTTCTGCCTTTTCTTACATAGATACACAAACAAACATGCACACGTGCAGTTGATAATAATAGCAACAGATTATGAATTCCATTTTAAGCATTTGGGGTTTCTGTTTGGAGATTTTGCCAGCATTTCGCTAAAAATAGAATGGCACAACTGCTCAAAGCTATGAAAACCAATAGTGATTATTAAACCATCATGCTATTATATTAATTACAGCTTTTTAATGATTTACAACAGGCATACAGATATCTTGTGGCAAGTATGTTACTTCAACATATGTACACTGTAAAAAGTACTTTACAATAAGGTGTCACTTGTTAGCATTAGTTAATGTATTAACTAACATGAATGAACAATACATTTATTACTCTATTATTAATCTTTTTTTAATGTTAGTTAATGAAATACTGTTGCTCGTTGTTTGTTCATGTTAGTTCACAGAGCATTAACCACTGTTTAACAAACACAACTTGCTATTTTAATAATGCATTAGTAAATGCTGAAATTAATATGAACTAAGATTATTAAATGCTAATGAAGTATTGTTCATTCTTGGTTCATGTTAACTATTGTAGTGGACTAATGTTAACTAATGAACCTTATTGTAAAGTGTTAACCAGTATGCTTTACAAGAAAATATGATTTTAAGAAAATAGACTTTCTACTTTACAATTTCACATTTAATAAGGTGTTGTTTGTTGATTCTTTGCAATTGTTTGTGATATTTACTAGCAATTTATGAATATAAATTATTTCTACCGAAATGAAAATTCTTCGCCGAAACCGAAAAAAATAAAACATTGGGCCGAAGACCGAACACGGTTTTCCGTGGTTTCCCCCCCCATGTATTTTGCCAATTTTTTTCACCGTTGCATATTTTACATACATACATATATATATATATATATATATATATATATATATATATATAT